AACATTTTAAATGATAGGAGCAAAAATAAATGTGTCTCATTGGTTAAGCATGGAAGCAGTTATATCAACTTTCTTTTTTTTTTTTTTTTATTTTTTTTTGGTACTGGAAATTGAACTCAGGACCTTGAGCTTGCCAGGCAGGCGCTTATGCTGCTGAGCTATATCCCCAGCCCTGGATCAACTTTCTTATGTCTCTTTGTTGTACATGTTTGTCAGAAGGGTGTGAGTGGCTGTAGATATTGTTAATTTTGTATTCTGGCCTTCATTTCAATGTGGCTTGTTTTTATATACTATTATAGTATTATTAAGATTAATTCACATATTATACAATTCACTCACTTAAAGTATACAGTTAAATGGCTTTACATATATTAATCTGTGAATGTTGTGCAAACAATAGCACAATAAATTTTAGCACACTTTTTTCACCTAAAAAAGAAATTCCGTGTTCACTAGAAGTCATTTCTTTTTTCTGTCTTTCACAGATTGAGCCCAGTGCCTTGAACATGCTGGGCAAAGCTCTATCACTGACCTCCACTCCCCACTCTGGAAGTTCTTTCTTATTCTTCCCTCCTTCCAGTCTTCAGCAACCACTAATCTGTTTTTTTTTTTCTTTCTCTTTTTCTTTTTTTAGCTTTTTGAGACAGGATCTTGATATAGGTAGTTCAGACTGCCCTTGAACTCACTATGTAGCCCAGCCTGGCCTCAAGCCCACAGTGATCCTCCTGCTTCAGCCTCCTGAGTGCTGGGATTACAGGTGTGGCTAGCTAATCTGCTTTCTGTCCACTGATTTGCCTATTTTGGATATTTCATGCAAATGGAATTATAGAGTATGTGGTTTCTTTGTGACTGGCTTCTTTCACTGAGTATAGTGTGTTTATGATTCATGCATGTTGTAGCAGCATCAGTACTTCCCTTTTTATCCTTCATGGGTCTGTGTGTTGACCTTCTAATATGGTTTTCTGAGGAATGGATCTGCAGGGAGGTTTCACGTTCTCTTCACCTGTTCTGGGGGTTACCCCTTCATACCTGCTTCTCACTCAGTGTTTCAGGAGAGCCTGCATTTTCTGAGATTGAAGTGTTTAACCTGGTTTCTTTTCTTTTTCTTTTTGGGTTTTTGAGACAGGGTCTTGCTATGTAGTTCAGGCTGGCCTTATAGTGATCCTCCTGCCTCAGCCTCCAGAGTGCTAGGATTACAGGCATGCACCACCATGCCTGGTTACCCCAGATTCTTATCGCCTCTCATGGTTTTTCAGAAACATTTTTTTCTCCTTCTACATACTTCCTTACTACTTTACCATCTTTCAGAAGAGTATGAGATACAGGGTCAGAGGTTCTAGATTCAGCTTTTTTTTGGCCAAACTAAGTGTGCTTAGGATGGCATTTATGGCCAGTATACAATATATCACTAAGGGCAATTTAGAAAACACAGGGGAAAAGATCATTCCTACTCCAGTTTTTGTACTCAAATCCCGGCCCTCATCCCTGTTGTTTGTAATAGTCAAATAATATTTTTTGTTTGGTATATACTTTGTTTGGTGCCTGTACTTAAAAAACTTTCCTTTCCTTTACATCTTGGTTAAGGTTCCAAGTGTTCAGGATTCCATAGCTGCTTCACTTGTGCTTGTGGCCAGCCTGCATATGCGCATGACACAGTGGTGGAAACAAAGCAAGAAAGATTGGCTCAGGGAAAGCCAGTGGGACAGGATGTTCCTTATGCAGCGATGGGAGGATTAACTGGTTTCAGCTCCCTGGCAGAGGGCTACATGCGACTGGATGACAGTGGCATCGGTGAGTGAGGAATATAAAGTGGGAATTTGTCATTGGCTTTTACTATGTGTCCTCACAGCAGTGCAGCCTTGTTTTTGTTTAGCATTTTGTATTCATCACGTTTTTTTCAGAAAATATTCCCTTACTTGAAAGGATCTCATGGCCATTGTGGAAAATTTAGAACAAAAAAGAAAAATCATTCCTACTTCGCTGTTTGCACCCAAATCCCAGTCTATACCCCTGTTGTTTGTAATAGCCAGATAATATTTCTTTGTTTGATGTCACAGTTTAACTGTTATCCTGTTGTGTATAGTTTTTACTATAATAACTCATTTTGGAAACACATACATACGCATGTATATTCATGTATATACATGTAAACACATCGATAATAAATTTGACTGTACACATATATACATACACACACACATATATATCTTCTTGCATACATTTACTTTAAAAGATTTCATTAGTGCATGTTAATATTACATGATGATGGGGTTTACTTTGGGAAGTTGGTACATTTAATGTATGTTAGCCAGATATGGTGGCTCACTCCTGTAACCGTAGCACTTTGGTAGGCTGAAGCAGGACAGTCACAAAACTCAAGCCCAATCTGGGCAATTTACAAAATAAAAGATGGCTTGGGATATAGTTCAGTGTGAAGGGCCTAGGTTCAGTCCCCAGTACTAACAAACAAAACATATCTTAATCAATTTCAATTCCATTATATCACTCTTTCTTTCCTCTTCCCTCCCAAATGGCCCTGTCCTCATTTCTAGAAGTCTACCTCCTGCTTTCCTGTCCTCTCCACTGTATTTAGTTATTTATATATTTTTAGGTTTTTCATATAAGAAAAATCATATGATGTTTAACTTTTTGAGTCTAGCTAATTTCACTTCACACAATTGTTTCTAGTTCCACTCATTTTCCCTACAAATGATATGATTTCGTTCTTCTTTATGGTTGAGTAATATTCTGTTGTATATACATACCCCAGTATCTTTATTCATTCATCTGGTGACTAGCATCTGGGTTGTTTCTACAGCTTAGCTATTGTGAATTGCACTGCTATAATCATAGATACACATGTATCATTATGGTATGCAGTCCTTACTTCTTTGGGAATATGCCCAAGAATGATGTAACTGGGTCAGAAAGTATTTGTATGTTTGGTCTTTTGAGGAATCTCCATACCGATTTCCATAGCAGTTGCACTAGTTTATATTCCCACCAACAATGTAGAAGGGTTCCTTTTTCCTACATCCTCACCAGCATTTGTTGTTTTTTGTATTCTTGATGGTGAGATGGAATCTCAGGGTAGTTTTAACTTGCATTTCTCTGATGGCTAGAGATGTTGAACATTTTTTCAAACACTTTTTGTCCAATTGACCTTCTTTTGAAAGTATTTATTCAGTTCTTTGCTCACTTTTTATTGGGTTCATTATATTATGGGAGTTTATTTTTTAAAGAGCATTATTCTTCCAGATACTAGGCCTTTATCAGAAGAGCAACTAGCAAAGCTTTTCTTCTGTGCAGTGGGTTTCTCTTCCCTCTGTTGTTTCCTTTGCCATGAAGAAACTTTTTAATTTGAGGTGGTCCCATTTGTTGATTCTTGATTTTATTTCCTGTGCGATTGGAGTCCCGTTCAGGAAATCTTTGCCTGTGCCCGTGGTTTCAGGTGTTTTCCCGGTTTTGTCTTCCAACAGTGTCACTGCTTCTGGTTTTACATACATTTAAATTTTAAGTAGTACAGGGGAAAGTTTTATTGGATATATCCCAAGCGTTCGAAAGTGACTGAGGAGCTGAATATTTTCCCTGTCTACTTTAAACATTTTGATGTATGGGGATTTAATTTAATTTAATTTAATTTAATTAATTAATTAATTTAGGTACTAGGAATTGAACTCAGGACCTTGTGCTTGCCAGGCAGGCACTTGTGCTGCTGAGCTATATCCCCGGTCCGATATATGTGGATTTTAACAACAAAGGTGTATTTTTTTTCTTCATTAACAGTTACATAAATATAAGTGTACATTTTCTTGTAAAAAATTCCAACAGTAGAAATGAAGTACAAAGGCCAGCTGAACACTTCTCTTTACCCTACTCTTTCCTAGAGGATAATTTGCTGCCATCAATTTATTTTTCTCTTTAACATACATTTTTTTTACCGTTTATTTTTTGGTTTGTTTTTGGTGGTACCGAGATTAAACCCAAGGCTTTGACATTGAGCTACATTTTCAACTAGCCTCTCTCCCCCATGCACTTTTAAAAAATTTTTGAGACAAGGACTGGCTAGGTTGCTCATGCCAGGCTCACATTTGAAATCTTCCTACCTCGGTTTCTCAGAGTACTAGGATTATAGGTGTGCACCACACCCAGCTTTTTATTTACTTATTATTATTTTTTTTTTTTTTCTGAGACAAGGTCTTGCTATATAGCTCCGGATGGTTTTGAATTGGTAATCCTCTTGCCTCAGCCTCCCAGATGCTAGGATTACAGGCATGCGCCACCATGCCCAGCTTTACTTTTTTTTTTTAATTTAGAAAAATATTGGTGGCCTATTATATCAGGACACACAACATGAATCTACTTCATTCTTTTTAATTGCTGTGCAATGTTCCATGCTATAGTTTGTCAGTTTAACCATTGCCTTATTTTTGGTATTTAGGGTTTTTTTTTTTTTTTTTTTTTTTTTTGCCTTCACAGCTGATCTTCCAAAGAAAAATCCTTTAATTTCCTCCTGTGTCCTTGGATGACTTTGTATGGCAGATATAGGGATGTAGAATGCTTGGGGTAAAGTGTGTGCACATGTAACATTTTAATGCATTTTGCCAACTTATGCTTTAAAAATGCTGGCATTGTTTTTAATTCCCCCAGGGTGATTTTAGCTCACTCATCTCCTCTCTTTGAGGTTAGTCATTGATATTATTAAACCTGACCTTTTTTTGCCAGTCTGATGTGAGAACTTATCATTGCTTCAATTTGATTTCTGTAGTCATTAGTGAGATGAAGATCATTTCATAATTTTTGGCTATTTTACTTTCTGTGAATTGCCTGTTCAAATCCTTTACTCATATATTTTCTTCTGTTTGACTTATGTCAATCTTTATATAGTCTGTATACTAATATATTAATCCTTTTTTGAGGATATTTTTTCCCCATCTGTCACTTGTCTTTTAATGTTTAAAACTGTTTTTTAAAAATAGTTTTTATATTGTGAATGCAAGTCTTCCATTATGGTTTATCTTTAGATGTCTTTCCCACCTCCCAAAGTTTCATAGGTGGTGCTTTTTCAGAGGTGGCTGGATCTAGAGTGTGTGATCAGTTCATGGTACAAGCTAGGATTAAGGGTGTGAGTCTGCCTGCCTTGAGGGTGGGTAGCCTAGATACAATATAAGGGACAGAAAGAGGCTTGTTTTTAGTTACTTGTAGTTGGTTTCTCGCTTGCTTTTGGTGTCTTCTGCCTGTTATAGCCTGTTTGTCCTCTGTGATGCTCCTCTGCTGTGCCGCCCTGCCTTGGAGCCAGCCAGCTGTAGACAGAAACCTATACAAACTGTGAGCTAAATAAACCTTTCCTCCTTTAACCTTGGGTATCAAGTATTTTATCTCAGGAACAAGAGAAAAGTAACTGAGATATTTTCCCTATTCCATTTTTTCTTACTCTAATTTTATAAATATGCTTTTCTTCATTTTATCTTCATACATGTGATTTTTTTGTGTGTGTTTAGCTTTTTCATGTACCTTCAATTTAGTTTTTGTTAAAGTGCAAGGTAAGTATGTCTAACTTTAGTTATTGTCCAAATTGATGTCAGGCAGTTATCCAAACACCATTCTCTTCTAAATAATTGTAAACTTTGTCAAAGTCTATGTATTTTTTATATTTTGTGCCACTTCGCTATGTGTCCTGGGCCAATATTACTTATTTTTAATTACAGCTTTATAGTACGTTTTGATATTTGGTATTCTTCCCATTTGTATTCATTTTTCACGTATTTTTTTCTTCTAGGTAATTATACAACTACCTTGTTAAATTCCATAAATAAATAAATTCTTTTGCAGTGTTAATGAGTCCATGATTGTATTAGATTCATGTAATAATCTTAGAAATCCCAAATACAAGTACAAAAATCATGGTGATGGTCATCATCATTATTACAGCTTGGTACTGCCAGGAATTATTCCAACCACTTCATGTATACTACCTCATTCAATCCTCCCAAAAACTAAGAGTCAGACTATTATTGTTGTTTTACAGATGAGGAGACTCATCCCAGAAATGAAACAGTTGTTTTGTATTCAGCCAGCAGAGTTGGATTCAGCCCAGACGTTGCCATGGGCTCCTTAGTCTGCCTCATTGTCATTTATTTCTTTTTCTTCTGCAACTACCAAGTTGTGTTCATTATTGTAGATTTATAGTGAATAGATAAATTTATGACTCATATTCTGACCTCTGAATTTTCCTGACCTATTCTTACCTTTTAATTCTTGCAGAACTTTGCCTTAAACTTTAGGAAGTTACAAAACATTATATTATTTTAATTGGGACCAAATTGAATATGTAGATCACTGCAGAAAGTACTACTTCTAAGCAGCTAAGTGGATTTCTGAAATTATTTCCTTACAATTTCTGCACAAGTCTTAAGTTTCTTCCTAAGTATTTAATCTTTATTTTAATCATACATTAAGTTTTCCTTCTATTATGTTTCTGATTATTACTTGTTTATAAAGAAGCAAATGTTTTCTTCTGCTGTTGCTACCAATCTTACTGCTTAATCTTGAGTTTTTAAGAAGTTTTTAGTTTATTTTGCAAACAATTTTTGCCTCTTCCTTTCTAGTATTTATGACTCTTGTTACTCTTGATTAATTTAACTGCTAGTAGTTTGAGCACATTGGAGGGTAATAGCTGGCACCTTACCTTTCTGTGATTTCTGGTATTTTATCCCTCAAGTATCTTCTTGTATAAAGATGGCCCCTGAGGGAGAAGGGGTGGTGAGGAAAGGTGAAAGCCAGGCGAGGAGATATAAGGTACTTTTGTCCTCATGTCAGGTGTGGGGGACCCTGGGGCAGAGGAGCTTCTGCTCTACTAGCCCTGCAGACTCTTAAGAGAGAGTGACGTCTGGCTGGGATTTGATCCCTTTTTGTAAAACACCTCTCAAGGAGTACTTGGCAGGCAACTGAGTTGTGAGATGAGTCTGCCTTGAAACCTGTTGTAGTGGGGAAAAGGGACCCCACAGGGGAGCTGACAGTGGGTCCCCAGGTCAGGGGATTCAGTAGAAGAAGTAGCTGGCATTGTGGGGTCTGTAGTTTTAGTAAGAGCAAGTGCTAGGCCACCAGGCTCTATCGAGCTGAGAGACCAAGTTTACAAGTTAGGCCAGCCTGGAGCACTTGAGATCAGTAAAACGTGCAGCACCCAGAGGACAGCACAGGGAGCTGAATGGTCCTGAGTCCCTCCTGATAGTCTCACTGCCACAAGAGAGAGTGGCTGGGGATAGGAGAGGGGGAGGAATTAGAAACACTGAACAATTATCTCATGCTGTTCACATTACAAGATTAACTTTTTAATATGTTACTTTTGGGGTTTTTTTGAGACAGAGTCTCACTATGTAGTTCAGGCTGGGCTTGGGCTCACTACATGGCTCAGGTTGGCCTTGAACTCATGGTGATCTTCCTGCTTCAGTCCCCTGAATGCTAAGATTACAGGTGTGTCCCCTAACTTTAAACCAGTTAGGACTGAAAGTTCATTTCCTTCTCTCTTGCAGTGGTGTGGGGGAGGTGGTGCTTTGTGAGAAAAAACAGTTTTACGTCTTCTCTGCAGCTTCCTTCCTTTTGGTCCATGAGGGTCAACACATTTTATAGTTGCTCTTTGTGGCTCAGGGTGGTAGTTGTTTCCTCCATTGAAGAGGAGCTTTCTCCTTTATTTTTCATCCTTTGCTTTTAGATATCTTCTTAGTAAGAAATAGATTAAAAATACTTTATTTTTATATTTTAACTTAGTTAACCAGAGATTCCTTATTGTGATTGTCTTGCTTTAGATTGTGTTTTGCTGCTATATTCGGGTTTAGTATTCCTTTGCTGACAGAGCTATATTAGTGCATAATATGTGTTTTTTTTTCCTCTGAGAAAGGTCTGAGAAATGAAAAAATACTCTTTTAGCCACTTACCTTTATGTGGCAGATAAAAGTTTAAATAAAAATTCCTTTTTTACCCCTGGTTTTGAGATGGGTCTCACTCTGTTGGCCAGTTTGCTCTTCACTGGATTCCGTATCCTCCTCCCTCAGCCTCCCAAGCAGCTGGGTTACAGGCATGTATCACTGTACTTGGCTAAAACTTTCTTTTTTTTTTTTTCCTACCAATGACAATTTATTATTTGTTGGCAGCACACAGACCAAATAGTAATTAGAATTATGTCTACATAGAAGTGGGCAATGATAGATGGCATTCTATGGAGAACATGTACATTTAATCATGTTTTAGTTGTTTGATCTTCTCCTTATGTCATTCAGTTTCTTTCTCCATACGCTCAATTTCCTTTTTATGATGATCGATCTCATCCTCGTGATGTTTCTTCAAGCCAGTTGTTCTCTAATCTTCTGTTGGAAGAACTGCTCCTCTTCAGCCTGCTCTGTCTTCCTGAAGGCCCCACCGGCATCCCGGATCAAGCTGGGAGAACTGTCATGATCCTGCCATTGTTCCTGACGCAGTAGCCCCTTGTCACTTGGCGTGGCAGCTTCTCTAAGACTTTCTTTTTCATAGAAAGTATTTTTCAAAAGATTCTGATGAGAATCTAAGCTATTTCCCATTAGAAATAACAAGTTGTCTCTATGCTTATAAATCAAGATTTAATTTTTTATTCTCCATGTATTTTGTTTTAGGTGCACCTTCAGCTGAAGTTTTAAACTCTCCAGCTACGCCCATGGACCATCCATTCCTAAAAGCATTTCAAGCATCATCTACTTCTCCAGAAACATTAACAGATGGTACTAAAATTAGAATGTGAAATATTTTTGGATGTAGTAAGAAAATAGGGCTTTTGAGTTGTTTTCTAGGCTTCTGTCTTTTTTCTGCTATTATTACAATTTGACTTTGAGTTACTTACTTTCATATTGGTGAGGCACTGTGAAAAAGGAAGGAACTTCATTTTGTGTTGGAAAAACAGCTAAATATGAAAATTACAAGGATTCTGATAAACTATATTTTGAAGATTTAAAGTTTATTCTGGTACATGTTGCTCTGGTGTTTGAATAAGAGGCCACTTAGGGGACTAACTGCTTTGATCCTTGGAGTTTTCCCTAGGGGGATATAATCTGGAGATGATCATAGGGTAGGAGGGTTTTTATTATTTATAAATTAAAAGCAAATAGAATTAATTTTAAGCACTAGTAATTTACATTTCCTGTGTTAAAAAAGGAACAAAAGCATTGAGGATGAAAATTGAAGGATTTTTTTTTTTTTTCTTTAATGCTGGGGATCAGATTTAGGGCCTTATGCATGGTAGGCAAGTTCTGTGTCACTAAACTACGTTCCTGGCCTTGAAGATGGGCATTTTTATGGTTGATTAGGTATTTAATATTTTAAAATGAGAATTTTGTATTTTCATGGACCTTGACATTCTCTACAAAGCATCTTAAGGTTGCTTACAAAAACAGCATTCAGTGAAGGAATGATTAAAGACACACTGAAGTAAAAAAAAATGAAAATCAAGAAAAATAACGTAATTGTCCTGTGACTGATATAATTGTTGCATTAAACCTCAGTTTTGACTGAGTGTAGTGGCAGCCAAGATACAGAGGCAATTGCCATCAGTTAAATTCTTTAGTAGAAAGGAAGAAGCATTAGTTTCTCAATGTGAATGCTACAACATTGCTATTTATTTATTTATTTATTTATTTATTGTGACTAGCGGTTGGACCCAGTGCCTTTGCACTGAGCTACATCCCCAGCCCTTTTTATTTTGACATAGGCTAAGTTGCCCAGCATGGGCTCAAACTTGCAATCCTGTTGCCTCAGCCTCCCAAAGTGCTTGGATTACAGGTATGTGCCACCATGCCTGGCACAATAATGAATTTAAAGAAATCTGGGTAGTGACCCTAAGTGATGCAATAGCTGAGGTCCTCAGGACTCTTTTTCAGCAAATGCAGAATATGGCTGATTGCTTTCTACAATTACCTCTAGTAAGAGTGATGATATTTCATTAAAGTGCAGCTCTGAAGATGAATGTGTGTGTAAGAAGCTTAGGTGAAATGGTCCAGCCTCTTCCAGGGATACACTCAAGAGTTTCCAGAAGTATGGATGTCCCTTACCTACTTTAATCTTTTTTATTTTATTTTTTTCAACAAGGCTTTTGTTATATATAGTTGACAGTGAAGTTGTGCTCTGTGGTGACGGTTTACAGTTAGACACTTTTGTGTGGCTAGTTGAAGGTGAAATTATATGCTTTAGAAACTAGAAGAACAGGTACTCTGGTTGCTATTCTATTTTGGAAATGAAAGGACCCAGTAAAGGCATTTGTCTATAACGAAGGTAATCTTTTCTTTGTTGGGTTTTAGAGTACCTACAAAGAAAACTGGACTTTTTCCTACTGAAGCAGTTTAAAATTCTTTTAGCACATAAAGTGGTGTGTAAGTAATTTTACAAAGTGAATACTATGAAAAATGGCTGAAATTATTTTAATTTTGAAAAATTTTAGACTAGCTTATATCATTCTGGTTACAAAGTCTCAGTAAAGTCCCCACAATGCATACTGTTGTGTGTTATCTCTTAAAGTGTAACGTGGATTTCTAGATGTAACATACAAAGAGTAGTTGGACAAATCCAAATGTATTTTTATATGGAATAGCTACATAGTACTGTATTACTTAATATTACTTATATTACTTAGGCAGTTGAATATTTGGAGAATGTTTGCCGCTAGAAATTACTTTTTGTCTTGTGGTGCCATTCTTTTTAAGAATTAGGTATTAGGGCTATTTAGGCCATTTCTGGTTTGAAAAAAAAAAAATTATCATCTGGCAAGAAGAAACTTTCCTTTGTGTATTTTTTAAAAAATTTCATGGAACTATATAGTGGTATAAATATATTAATTAGGTTTTTTTTTTTTTTCATGTTAGCAGGTACAAGTAGCCAAGTTTCTTCCTTAAAGAGACCAGAAGAGGATGATATGACTTTCTTTGAAAGACGATACCAGGAAAGGGTAGGTTTTTAGGAAATTCACTAGTGTTAAACATGTACTTATAATAGAGACACTGAAGAATGATTATACACTGAACATGGAACATCATTAAAAAATAATATTTAAAATCTTCACTAATGGATGGCATGAGGCATTGGGGCTTACTTAGAGTAATTCAGACAAATGGGACTAGTGAAAAATATGATATGAACACAGTAGTAGATTCATGAAAGTCATAGTTGTTGATTAACTAATAGAATAAGCATAAGTCATCAACATCCTTATAAACTATATGTGTCTTGATTTTTTTATACATGTACCTTTACTTTTTAATTTAAAAATATGTAATTGTCAGGGATAGAGGGGATCGTAAGAGGCTGGTTAGTGAGTACAGGAGTGTAGTTGGGTAGAAGAAGTAACTTGTAATGTTTTATAGCTTAGCAGGGTGAGTGTGGTTAATAACAATTAATTATATATTTCAAAATGACTAGGACAGAGGATTCTGAATGCTCCCAACACAAAGAAACTGTAAATGTTTGAGGTGATAGATACTCTAATTTCCTTAATTTGATCACTACACATTGTACGCGTGTATTGAAATATCACACCATACCTTGCAAATACATATAATTATTACGCATCAATTAAAAAGTATCTATTGTAAAAACTAAAACCATTGTCACATGAAGATTCAATATATTTTGAGAGACATAATCTAGGCCTGTCTGTTCTGTAACATTACTCTGGCAAGGTAATGAGGAAGTTAGTCTAATTTAGGAGAGTGTCCAGTGTGCCTTGGATACTCATTAAATCTTGGTCAAGTGTTTGATTGTTCTATTCTTTTGGGACAACTGTCTATAGAGTTTAAGGCGAAAACCACAACTAGCAAGGGGGCAGGGAAGCGAGGACCTGGATAAGCAGCCTGAAAAGACACAAAAATCAAGGGGAATAGGTATGGAGCAATCTTGTGAATGGAGTCCTCGGGCTTCAGCCATATGTGGACTGATTAGCTTCTGAAGAGACCAGAATAGGGCTTTGGAGTGTATTGTCTCTTTAGAGTGAACCTGGGGTAACTGTCCAGGTAAATTTTTAGCAGTTGTCTGGATGGGCTCTTCTAACTTTGGAATGATGGATCTAAAGCGGGATTTCTGAAACTTGTAGAGGTAGTTGATATGCACCTGGGTTATATGTATGTGCAGGAGTGTCTATAGGTATAGCTGGTCTTTTAGCTAAACTCTTGTGGAGCTAGTTACAAGCTATTTTTGTAGGGTTATGTTTTATTTCTTTAACTCTTTTAAAACTTTGTGGCTTATATGCTGTATATAATTTTTTATTTAATCTTTAATAGTTCTGCCAATTTTGAGTTATCTCTGCTCTAAATGCAGGCCCATTATTGCTGCCGGTGGTCAAGGGTAGGTCATAGCTAGGGATGGTTTCTCACAGCAGGACCCTACAAACTTCTGTTGTCTTGGCCAGCCTGAGTCGGTACAGACAAGCACTGTTATGTTGGGTAGAGATCAGGGCCAGTGGCACAGATGATGAAGCCTGAGTGGGCTGCAGGGGTATGGGAGCCTGTGCTGTGGCTTGAGCTTGCAGAACAAATGGTGTGGGCAGTTTTGGCTATGATCTTTTGGGAGTACTGAGTAAAGTGACTGGGGTTGATGTTTCAGTCAATTGGATCCCTGGAGGGGGCTTGGGAGTACAGGTCTGGTGTCACTGGTGGCAGGTTTCCACATAGCAGCAGGAAACGGTAACAGGAGAGCTTTGGCCAAATTAACTTTGCCCAAGGTGCCACAGCATATCTAGCCTGTTGGACTTCATTACTTACAGAGCTACTTCCATCCATAAAAGGGGGTATTCGCCATCTATAATAATCTACAGTTATTCAGAAGGTCCCATGCAGCATGTGGCACCTGGACAGTTAAGGTATAGGGAGTAATATTTCAGCCATATGGCTGAAAGTGCTTTCTTTAGGGTTATTTTGTACTTGGGGGTATTATTATCTCTTGGAAGAAATATACTCTGCAAAAATAAAGATACTTCTGTCACTTTTGTTGTATCTTCTTAGACAAGAGCTCACTGAATAGCTGAGGGTGTAGAAAAAGAACGTTAAATAAATTCGCCACGTAAGAGTAGAGGAAATGAGAAGACAAAAGTTGTCATGGCTTTCCTGACAAAGTTTGAAGTAAAGGGGAGAGTCTTGTAATTAATATAAGGCAGAGGTAGACTATAGAATTTTTTGCAGTGATAATAAACTTTCTACATTTGTGCTATAGCCATTTACGATATGTGGCTGCATAAATATAAATTTAAATAAATTAAAGTTTGATATTTATTCCCATGGTCATACTGATGGAACTTGAAGTGCTTAGTAAGCACATGTGGCTAGTGGCTGCACAGATGTAAAACCATTCCTTTTTTGCAGAGAGTTCTTTTGCAAAGCTCTGGCCTGAGGAGATCTCAGTTTGTTTCGCCTTCCGTAACAAAATGCCATGTACGGAGTGGCTCATAAACACAGAAATTTATTCTCACAGCTCTGGAGGCTGCAAAGTCTTAGATCAAGATGCCTGCAGAATCTGGGAGGGCATAGATGGCGTCTTCTCCCTGTGTCTTCATGTGATGGAAGAGGCAAGGCAGCGCTGGCCTCTCTGTAGGGCGCTAATCCCGTTCATCAGGACTTAGGTGTCAGGACTTACAGCACTCCGAAGGGCCTACCTCCTAATATCATCAGATTGGTGATTCAGTTTCAGCAGATGAATTCTGGGGGGAAGTAGTAGGAGGACATCAGGGAAGAAGATGAAATGGTCAGAGTGACAAGAGAAAAGGCTGCTTTTGCACCACTGTCAAGGATAAGGCTTATAATCAAATCAGTCTTCATTTCTGGAACACACATTAATTTTAGTTTTCCCAGGTTTTAGAACTCCTTCTGTCCCTCTTCCAGAGGCCTGGCTAATGCTGTTAAAAATATGCCAGTGGCATTTGTTTGTGGGAAGATAATGGGAGGGGTTCTTTTTAGGAAGGTTTTAAAGGATACACATGGCCTGTCCAGATTGCTATTGTGAGTAAACATGGAATTTATGGATTTATGAGATACAGTTTAGAACTCTCCACACCATGTAATTTATGGGTTTATGAGACAGTTTATAAACTCAACAGCTGTTTGATTAATGGAGTATAAAAACTATAAAGCCTAAGCCTAAATGTTTTCCTTTAAGCTGACGCATACCATACACGTTGTTAGTTCTTGTCTTTTACACCAAAACCATCGAAGGAAAAGGGACAACTAAGAAGCTCTGTCTGATGGTTCAGGGCAGTGATGGTGAACCTTTTAGGGCCTTGAATGATACAAATAGCCCAATGCAGCACACATTCCCTAAGTTTGCCACCACTGGTTTAAGATTTTTTTCAAAGGTTATGCTATAGCTGGGCATGGTGGCGCATGCCTGTAATCCTAGCACTCAGGAGGCTGAGGCAGGAGGATTATTGCAAGTTCAAGGCCAGCTTGGGCTATGTAAGTGAGTTCAAGGCTAGCCTAAACTGCATAGTGAGACCCTGTCTCAAAAAGACAAGAAAAAAAAGTTATGCTATGCAGAGCCAGGCGTGGTGGCACACATCTGTAATCCCAGAACTCAGGAGGCTGAGGCAGGAGGATTGCTGTGAGTTGGAGGCCAGCCTGGCTACATAGTGAGTTCAAGCCCACCTTGAACCAAACAGCAAGACCCTGTCTCAAAAAGAAAAGTTATGCTATATAGGTATCTTGTTTTTCTCCTATCCTTTGCCAATCATTGGTAATGTATGAGAAAGAATCTTATGATTAGGGTAATTTGACTTTGACAGGTAAAGGTTTTGTGGTAACATGCCTTACCAGCTACTTATAGAGGTTATTGAAAAGTTGCTTATTTTACATATCAGATAAAATTACTTTTTTCTCTGTGGTGATGCTTAGTCTCTTACCCAAGAAAGGAGAATTTTATTAAGGAAATAAGTATCAAAGATCTATTAGGTGCAAGGTACTTTGTTCATGCCAGGAAATAAATTTTTAAAAAATAAAGTATAGGAGGAGGTATGTTTGCCTTTAGGACTCTAGGTGGTTGTATTTGTTAAGTACTATTTCAAATGAACAAGTATAGCTTTGGCTTTTGTTTGTTGTTTAGCATATTTTAAAAAAAGTGTTACTGCAAATGTAACAGTTGGCCTTAAATGAAAAAAGAAAAAGGCCCAGCATTTGTTGAGTTTTTATTTAGTGCCTACGTCTATCTTTGTCTCTCTGTCTCTGTCTGTCTCTGTGTCTCTGTCTACCTACCTACCTAACTACCTACTTACCTATCTATTCTTACTTAGACCTTTAAAATAACCCTGAGAATACCTATTACTGTGTCTTTTTTATAGAGAGCCCTCCCAGTCCTTGTTGCAGCCCAGGAGGTTTATATTTGTAATCCCATGGAAAAGTTATTGGAATTGTAATGAGTTAATTCCAATCTACCACTTCCAGTGCAACCCACGGTGTGAATAAAGACACAACATGGTGGGGAGCCAAAGGGGTCCTGAGTCTGGCCACAGTGATGGCTATCTGGAACAGAAAGGCCTATACCCAGGACTGAACCCAGATATTATTCATTTGTGAAGAAGGGAGTGGCATGAGGATGAGTGACTGTGGGAGTGGCACGGGAAGTATGTGAATGCCATGAGCTGGGTTAAGTAGGAGGCCTGAAATCACCTCTACCATATGCAAAGAGGACATGCAGAAAGAGTAATCGGCATGAAATGATTGAGATAGTTAGTATCTAATGTTTTGGGGTCGGTGCTTCAGCTCTGATGTGTAATCTTTCAAGCCCCAGGAAGTCATAGCCTCTATGTCAAGGCTCAATCCCAGCCGACAGCGTGGAGCATTGGCTCACACATCCTGCCTCATCCGGCTCACTTGTGGGAACAAGGGGAGTTGGGGAAACACACCTGCCACCTTTAAAGAGCACCGTCAGCACCTCTGCTAGGCTGATATGCATTGCTTAAAGCCAATTGAAGGGATAAGGAAAAGTCCTAGCCAGCTCTGTACATGTCAATACATGGAAATAGGGTCAGGCTCAGCCAAAATGGAGGCAACTGCTGCTCTTTCAAGGAGAGCTGCCTACGTGGTCCTCCACATTTTTCAAATGAGAAACTGTTAAGTAACTTGCCCCAAATGCTTACTAAATGGAACAGGTAGGATTCAAATGCTCTTTTGTTTGACCCCCAAACTAATAATCTTTGCTTTAGAGTGTTTGTTGGAAATCTTTCTGGTATCCTGTGAGAGTGCTAGGAGTGCATGGGTTCTGCATCAAGTTGCCAGCCAACTCAAAGAGGAGAGAGGACGAAAACTTGGGGAAGAGACAGAGGCTAGATTAATTTGATTTTATCACTGGGAGTTTATTACTTGCTATAGAATTAGATAAACTGGTTTTACCAGGACCTTCATGCCTTCTTGATATTATGCCTGCCACTTGAGAGGTAGGAAGCCCTGTCTCCACATGGCATACCCTTTAATTTCTGTCCCCTTCTTTTGGGTTAAGGCAGTGGTGCTGCCTGGGGAAAATGTGTGTGTAAATATGATGGGTGGTGAGTAAGAAGCAGGTGGGCTATGTGTTTTCTGGAGTCTGTAACCCCATGGAAGAGGTTTATGTGTATCTCAGAGGTTAAACAGCTGCTGTTAGGGTATGTGTGCTTCTTTAACTGTGATGACAGAAGAAAAGACTTTCAGGAAAGAACCATGAAAGTGTAGAATCCAGAATTCTAGGAAAGCATCCTTAAAGGAGTCCATGTTCCATAGATAATGCAGCTAGGAGATTTAGCTGAGCAGCACAGTGCCTGCCTGGCAAGTGCGAGGTCATGAGTTCGATTCCTGGTACCTGAAAAAACAAACAAACAAACAAACAAAAACCATTGTGAAATGCAGCTGGGTTAGATGTATCCTGTACTCTGCAGGCAATATGCATAGGATGAATGTATGCTGAGAATTTTAAGCATTAAAAAAAAAAATCTTTTTTTAGTGACAATTTAATTTATTCTCTTCTCTAAGCCAGTGTTTATTTGTATGTTATTTTTTATTGAAATGTTTCTGTAAAGTTAAATTTAAACAATTTAAAAATATGCAGTAATATCCCTTTATCAGATTTTTGGCTTTAGTATTTAGTAGCTTAGTAACTATGTGGTACATCTGTGATAAATAATGCATGAATCCAAATGAGGTATGTGTGACATTTTTTTCTTTAGAATAGTTTGCAAATTATTATAACAATAAATGTTTTATATTTATAGATAAAAATGGAAAAGGCTGCTAAGCACAAAGGAAAAGCCCCATTGCCATCAACTACAAAACCTTCATGAAGTCTGGACAATTAAAGCCATCATCCAAATATATCTTTTTCATGCTTAGTTCAATATAATAATAGAGTTTATTTTCTCTGTTACTGTTTAAAATGTGTAAATACCTATTTTGGGATGTTTTCTTAATTTATTGAAATAAGTGAAATTACCTTGTATTACTTTTGACAAAATTCATGGTTTACCACTTTGTATGTACATTTTGCTCTTTCTTATCAAGTGATGTTATTTTATGAGTCAAGCTTTGAAAGTATTTCAAATATTTTTAGCCTATCATAATTTAAATGTTTTCAGGTTATTTAAAAATATTGAAGATGTGGAAACCAAAACACACATGCTCCCCCTTCCATCAGAATTGGCTAGGCATGGAGCCCCAGTGATGCAATTGGTTAGTGCGCAGTTCTTACACAGAATTGGGGGCTGGGGATATAGCTCAGTGGCATAAGCACACACCTGGCAAGTGCAAGGTCCCGAGTTTGATTCCCAGTAACCCCCAAAAAATGCTTATTTCAGAATTGGCTAGGCAGTTCTGAGATATATTTCATAAACTTCCTCAGAAAATCATATGAGATTGAGCACTAATCATCCATTGCAGAGGGCAACTCAGCAATACAGTCAATTATATTAGCTTTCTCTGTTTTACTCCTGCATCCTTACTTCTGGTTCGCTCAGATCACTTCCCAAATGAATTACCTCTATGTGAACATTTGTGGTAGGCTTTTCCCTTAAGTGCAGGGAAAACTTGGGCTAAGATGGTTGGTACCAAGAGTAGCCTTGTGAAGGATTGGCTTCTGTGACTGGATCACTTACAGCAATGGATTTGGATGAAATGTGAGTGGAAGCTGGAGTGTTAGATTATGCAGTAGCTGTGTTATTGGAGTAGAATGGGACTAATGGGAATTTTAAAGACTGGCTAGTGACAGTTAACTGCTTTGGAAACATTGTAAAAAGAAAATGATGTAGGCTTATATTAACCACTTAACGCCAGGTATGCTTTGAAAACCATAGTCCCTCAATAACATGGTTTAAGGAAAAATTTCATCTCTGAAAGATACAGAGCGGATTGTGCCGATGATCAGATCTAAATTTAGTAGTAAAGGTAGCAAAGCTGCAAAGGAAACTGAAAACACAGCTTCAGTAGTCACCCCCAACAAAGTCAGCATGCTGACAGAAAAAGAATGGAACTCTCAATAATAGGATGGGGACATTTGTGTTGGTGAGCCTGAGACTCTTTAACCCTTAGCTTTTCCTGAGGGCTACCAGCACTATACAAAGTGTATAGCACTATACAGTTTGGTAGGGGAGAGCAGCCAGCCTTGGCCTTGGCATCTTGCAGAGGCTTTATCTGAGACAGTTGCTTCTCAGAGTGACACTTGTCCTCCTCAAGACCCACTCCTACGTCTTCTCATTGACTTCAAATTTTTACTAGGTTCAGATCTCAGTATACTCCAAGGGGGAAATACAGCCCTTCCTCTAGGAGGGAAGATTACATTCTGAGTGGACTGCAGATTATGGTCAAAGTGTACTGCCTAGAACCCAAGAAATATGTCTGGGAATAGCTCTTGAGGGTGTTGGATCAACAAGTAGGGTGAGGGAAGAATACAAAGCTTGATAGGAGAGAGTGATGTGTGAGCATGTACTCATGATACATGATGTGATGCTCTGGCAGAGATGTCTGGAGCTGGTCCTAGCAGACTGCAAGGATGGTGTATTGGAGATATGGTGGATGTGCCAGAAATTATTTGGCGTGTTATTGAGGAATGGTTCTGAAAGCTCAGGGAAGTGAGAATGTTAGAATGGATTTGTTGTTTGAAACTGGAGGATGTAGCACCAGAATTTTCCCTGAAGAGACCCAGGTGATGCTCGTAACTAAGGCAGTCTGACATATAATTGTTGAGAGTATCCTACAAACTGTGAGAAGTTGGCATTGACAACACAATGGATACAAGGTGTTGCCATTATACTGGGTTCTGTGGTATCAATGTACATAGATTGGGATGCAGAAAGCTTGACGGACAAATTGTGGAACTTAACTGTCAGAGTCCCATAACTAACTCACTAGGCCCCAAAGCATGAGTTGGGATAAATTTAAGTTCATAATGTTCCAAAGTGCAAGATAGAAGGACAGCTGACTAAGATATTTGAGTTGTGTAACTGCTTTCACCTCGCCTCTCAGATAAACCTGAGAACTGGCAGGCAGAAGGCCGACATGGTGAACCAGGTAATTTCCACCTGGTTTCCAGATCCAAGGCAGTTCAGATCTATAGCTCAAAATGGAAGGGACAGCCCTGATTCTTTCAGGAATATCCCAGATAAATTTGGTAAGTATCCCTTGACCCTTTCTTACAGGGGCAGTCATTTGTCATCACGTATCAGGGTAACTATGTGGGGGATTAAGAGAAATACTCAGAATTTTCAGCCACAGGTACCAAGTCTTCAATGACACAGATTCCAAAAGATCAAAAGTACCATTGTGGTCCACTGGTTAGAGTAAAGTGTGTGTGTGTGTGTGTGTGTGTGTGTGTGTGTGTGTGTGAGATTTGTTTTGTTTTGTTTTAGCCAAAGCTGTTGCTATATTGCCCAGGTTAGTTTTGAACTTCAGGACTTAATCCTCCCACCTCAGCCTCCTAACGGTAGTTGATGGGGCTGCCAGTATACACCATCATGCCAGATTCATATGAGATTTTATGGAAATCCAGTGACACATTGAGTCCTGGCCAGTCTAGCTCACAGTGGGTAAAATAGGTCTGACTCTACTTTGTTTATTTCTGCAGTCTCTATACTTATAATCAGAGTAGATATATAGTAGTTTGAAGCTCATAGAACCCTTGGACCTATACTCATAGCCTTTGCTTCTCAGATATAGCAGGACAGTGTTATTGACCTGGGCTCTCTCTTGACTGATAGATCACATAGTATGAAGTCAGTAAGGAATAGAAGTTTTGAACAACATTATTAATCAACTTGATCTAATTGGTATTTATAGAGCACTCAAGCCAATAATAGGATATATATATATAGAATATATATATAGAATATATATATATTAGTAGAAATGGAGTGTTTAGTAATACTGATCACATAGATCATAAGATAAAGCTCAGTGTTTTTAGGATGATTCAGATCATAAAGTATGTCCTCTGACCACAAAATCAAATTAGAAACCAAAATAAAGATATCTGGAAAATCTCCAAATATTTGACAATTATATAACAAATGTCTAAATAATCTATGGGCCAAAGAAAACAATTAAAAGGGTAATAGTACTTTGAATGAGTATGAAAACAGCAATGTATGTGGGATGCAGTCACAGCAGTACCTAGAGGGAATTTCTAGCACCAAATGGTTGCATCTGTAAAGAATGAAGATCTCTATCAGTGACCTCATCTTTTACCTTATGTAGATAGAAAAAGAAGAGCAAATAAAAATGAAAGTATATAGGAAACAAGGAATAAGAAAAATTCAGCACGAATTGAAAAATAGAGAAACTCAATGAAACCAAAGCTCTGGTTTTGAAACCAATAAAATGGACAAACCTATAGCCTGACCAATTAGTGAGAGAGAAAAAGACACAAATTATCAGTGTTAGGAATGAGAATGGTGACATCACTATAGACTCTATAGGTATTAAAAGGATACCGGGGAATAGTATAATTTTATTTCAATTATTTTGATAACTTAGATGAAAGGGACAAATTACTTGAAAAACATTGAGTTATAAATGGAGAAGTAAGTCCTGGGAGCTTAAGGGTCATTCTGATATGGTCACATAAATTACAGAGAGACAGATGAAATTAAAGGAGTTACTGTGCTTTATGTCACAGAAAAGGGAGACACGGCATATCACATGGTGCTATGCTGGGAAGCAGGTGCTAGGGAGCAGGCTCAGTGAAGCAGGTGGGGAGCTTAGAGAAAGTGAAAACTCTTTGGTGTTAATCTTGGCTGTTAACCTAATTGGTTGAAAGACTCCTAGAAGATTAGTAAAGCACACTTCTGAGTGTATCGGGTGTGTCTGTGAAGTGCTCCCAGACATGGCTGGCATGCGGGGTAGTAAATTGAGGGCAGAGAACCTGCCCTGAATATGGGTGATATCATCCAATACAATAGGGGCCTGGTGGAGAAAAAGCAGGGGGAAACCAGCTTGATTCTGCTTGAGCAGGTGAGTTTCTTGCTGCTGCCATTACCTGGAAATAGCTGATTCCAGCTTCTTCAGCCTTTCAAAGCAGACTCATATCAGCAATCTCCAGGAACCTTGCAGGGCTTCAGCTTTGATGAGGGTCGCACTGTTGCTCCATCTTGTTCTGAGGCTTCCGGCTTCTTAAACTGAACAGCTACTGGGTTTTCTGGCTGTCCAGAGTGCAGATAACAATTGTGGGACTATCCAGCCTCTGAACCTGTAAACCAATCTAATAAACCCCTTCTTATAGTGACATACATATTTTATTGGTTCTATTCTTTTAGATAACCCTGACCAATATAGACTCATGTACAGATGCCCTTGTGAAGGGTTAGAGTACACAAACAGAAGGCACAAAAATAGTTTAGTGGAGCTTTTGCATATCACTAGGTCACAATCAGGGGAGGGAAAGAAGGGGAACTTGTGGTAGAGACCATCTTACTACACTGGTAGACCCGATTGCTGGGCCTGCTGAGTGAGGTGCTCTCAGCCTACTTGTGGGGATGGTGAGGCTTCAGGAAAATAAGAACTTTAAACAATTCATAATATAGCTGTGCACTATTAAGCTCACTCAATAATAAGATAACTTGATTAGGCCCATATCTATTGAAGAAATTGAATTTGTAATTCAAAGTCTTCCCACAAAGAAAAATCTAGGCCCACAGAGCTGCACTGTGAATTTCCCAAATATTTAAGGAAAAAGGAATATCAATTCTATCAGACATTTCCAGAAAATTGAAGTGGGGAATTCTTTAAAACTTATTCTCTGCCCAGCATTACTGTGATGTCAAAACCAAAGATATAAGAAAAACTCAAATCAGTACCCCCTTTAAGCACATTTGCAGAAGTTATGAATAATTTCAGAAATCTAATATAAGAATATAGAAAAAGGGTACTCCTTCATGATTAAATAAATTGTATCCTAGGAATGCAAAGTTGGTTTAACATTTGAAAATTACTTGATGTAATTCATTAACATATGAAAAAACCACATAATCATTTCAATAGATGTAAAAGAAGTTGCAAAGATTCAATGTATATTTATGGTAAATGTTCTTTTTTTATTTTAAAATAAAAAAACCTGGCAAAACAACAATGAAGACAAAATCAAAACAACACAAAAACAACAAAAATAATACATGAGGGCCTGGGGATTTAGCTCAGTGGCAAAAGCGCCTGCCTGGCAAGCACAAGGTCGTGAGTTCGGTTCCTGGTACCGGAGAAAAACAAAACAAACAAACAAAAAAAAACCAAAAAAACAAGAAAACATGACCTCAGAACAAAATGATAGAAATTTACAATGGTTGCTACATTATATACTGTTATCTTCAATGAAGTTGCTGAGTCCACTAGACGTAAGAATGTAAGATTGATCAAACAAAGACAGTAACAAGTAAAAGAAAATCAATAATAAAAATAAAACATTGGAAGTGATGCAGAGCTTCACCATACAAGATAGTAGGAGTTCAACAATGGTTCTTATAGTGCATATTGTTGTTTTTCAGATCAGTCATTCTGAATATTATATGGTAAATGTTCTAAGCAAAATAAAGATAGGTGGTTACTTTTTCAGTCAATTACAGGGTAGCTACTAAAGCCTCGTAGGTATGATCCTACTTAGTGGTGCTCCCAGCACTCCCAGTCAGCATTATATTGGAGGTTCTAGCCATTGAATAAAGCAAGATAAAAAAAGATATCCAAACTGAAAAGGAGAAAAGTCTATTTGCATATACTGGTACCATAGTCATCTATGTAGATAATTTTGTGTAAATCTGTCACTGGAAATAATGAGTTTGCAAAGATGCAATAAATATGATCAATATACAAAATTATACTTCTAGGTACTAGCAACAAAACAACCAGAAATAGAAATTAAGAAAAAATACCATTTATAGTAGCATAAAAAATGGAAATTTTTAGTGATAAGTCAAACAAAAGATGTATAAAACTTTAAATGTACACAACATTGTTCAGGGAAGTAAAGGAACTAAATAATTGGAGTTATATGTACTGTGTTCATGAATAAGAAGACTGAATACTGTTAAGATATAAATTCTCAAATGGATATATAGATCCAAAATCATCTCAATAAATATCTCAGGAGGATTTTTTGGTGTGTATGTATTAAGTGAACAACAATTTGCATGGAAGTACAAAGGCTAAAACAAGTTTGAAAAAGAACAATGTTGGTATGTGGCTTACAGTGTCTGTCTTCAAGGCTTATAAAATTACAGTGATAACAGTATAAAGAAAGCAAAGAGATCGGTGTAAAAGGACAGAATCCAGAGACCTGCATGTATCTGTTCAACTGATCTTCAATAATGGTGTAAAACAATTTAGTAGAAAAAGTGTATTTTCAATAAATCATGTTGAAAAAATTGGATATCTCTATATACAATTTGATTCATACTTTGCGTATTTTTTTTGAGACAGGATCTTGCTGTGTAGTTCAGGCTGGGTTTGAACTCACTATTCACAGGCTGGCCTCAAACTCATGCTGATCCTCCTGCCTTAGCCTCCTATGTGCTGGAATTATAAGGTTATCCCATCACACCTGGCTTCATTTTTTGCATCTTACAAAAAAGTTAGCTAAAAAGTATTATAGATAAACATGGGACACCTATGTAAATCCAAAAGGAAATATAGGAAAAAACCTCTGTGAACTGGTTAGCTAGAGATTTATGAGGTACAACACAGAAGTATGATGCATAAGACAAAACTGATACATTGTATCTTGTCCACAGCTCTCCAAGTTCCCAAGGGGAAGGATGGTGGGAGGGTGGAGAAATAAAGATAAGAGTCAGAACACAGAAAGCTGAGGTCAGGTGGAGCCCTCTCTCAGGATGGGAGGAAAGGAACTGCTATTCGGCAGGTTAATGTCGCATAACACCCCTCTGCCTAACAATCCATTGTTGGATTGCCTTGGAGGTTGGTGTTCCCTGGACTGGAGCAGCTTGTTCACAGGGCTTGCCTCAGGTGCTCTTTGTTCTCAGGACTGGCCTTACTCCAGCCCCACATGTGTGACTGATTTTCAGCTTCAGCTGCTCCCCACAAATTGGACTTCATCATGATTAAGGACTTTTGCTCCCCTCTATGTCTTTTCCTTTTCTTTTTTTATTGCTGTGGATTGAACCAAGGCCTAGATAATGCCAAGCATGTGCTCTCTCACTGGAGCTATAACTCCAGTCATTGAACCTTTGTTCTTTACAATACTCTGTTAGAGAAGGCAGACAGCCATATCTGGGAGAAAATATTTGCAAATCGGAAGTTGTATTCATAGTACACAAAAAAGTATCAAAAGTCTGTAATGGGAAAGCTATCCAGTTAAAAATAGGAAAAGGTTTGCATAGATGCTTCACCTAAGAAGAGGTATGGGTGGACAATAAACATACAAAAAGATGCTCAATATTTTTAGTTATTAGAACGATGCAAATAAGACCACAAAGAAAGTTCAGTGTGGTGCTGCCTATGCCTATAATCTCAGCACCAAGGCCAAAGTGGGAGGTGTCTTGGTTACTTTTTCTTGCTGCTGTGATGCCCAAAATTAAGGAAGGAAAGATTTATTTAGCTCACAGTTTGTGGAGGTTTCAGTCCCTACTCGAATTGCTCCAAGGTAGAGTGGCACATGGCAGAAGGTAACAGTTCATGGTAGTGGAAAACAGCAAAAGCAGCAAGAGCAAAAAGGAGCGGCAGTGAGCAAGCCTTTTTCCCTCCCTTATATTGTATGCCAGCTACTCACCCCAGGGCGGGTGTAGCACTCACACCCATAATCCCAGCAATGGATCATGAATCAGTCATAAACTCTAGAAGCCCGACGCATGACTGCATGAGGCTTTGGGGGGGGGGATCTAGAAATAAACCATAAATCCTGGGTGCTTTAGCTCAGGAGTTTGAGACAAGCTTGAGCAATATAGTGAGCCTCTGAACCACCCCCCCACACATACAGGAAAGAAAAATGAATAAAAAAAGCTCACAAGGTGATCCTATACTGCATAAATATTTAAAAACATTTCAAGGGAT